CCCTGCTTGTGTTCCCTCTCTCGCTGTGTCTCTCTCTGTCAAATACATAAATAAAATCTTTAAAAAAAAAAAAAAAGTTCTAGTTCCCGGAAGGCCTTCAGTGAATATTTGTTGAATGAGTTAATGAATTCCAAAATGGCTGCATGACGGGGCCAATGCTTGGTTGGATTTATGAGTTCCAACGTGTGTGCGTTGTTGGTCGCTGAACCCTGTCTCCGCGTCCTGTCTCCAGAGGGTTGGCAAGCTCTGGCCTCAGCGCTCCTCTTTCCGTGGCAGGTGTCCCTGTGAACAGCAGAGTGTCCTCCAAAATCCAGCAACTTCTCAACACCCTGAAGAGGCCGAAGCGCCCTCCGCTGAAGGAGTTCTTTGTGGATGATTTTGAGGAGCTGTTGGAAGGTGAGAGATCTCGGGCGGGCTCCTGTGTCAGTGTGAACAGGGAATGTGTGTTGTGTGTGGTCACTCTGTGACGTTACAACACAACCAAGTGACCCCCCGTCTGTTTCCAGCCCTGGGGTCACCGAGTGTCACGTCACATGAACAGGGAGAAAACGCGTCGCTCCTGGTTAAGGGACTTAACATTTCTCTGTGCCTCTAATCCAGCGCTTAGTACTTGATAAGAATACTCCTAAGGTTTCATTTTATTTACATTATTTAAATTTTTTTTAAAGTAGGCTCCATGCCCAACGTGGGGCTTGAACTCCTGACCCTGAGATTGAGTCACACGCTCCACCAACTGAGCCAGCCAGGCACCCCCCTTATTTGAATTTTTATTTAAACTTTAAATCTGAAATACTTGTCTTCCCATGGTTTTAAAGTATATTTTTAGCATGGTTTTGGCCCTTTTTCAGAAATTTAGTCTCTCATTTATGAGTGAGATATACACTTAGGAAAAAAGAATATAGATCTATTTTTAAAAGGAAATTACCAAGAAGTAGAAAGAAGTATAAATCTGTAGGAAAGAAATAAAGTCTAGTACAAGGTATGAGCGTGTAATTGTGTTCGAGCCGCAGGGGCGCATGGCCGGCTCACCCCCCTGCCCCTCGTGCCTCTCCTGCATCGTGTTGCTGCCCCACTGACCACTGCCAGGCATCTCCTCCCCACTGAGGGCTAACACAACCCTTGGGTCATTGTTTCCCCTTTATAATCAGGTGACGCCTTTCAAATTCAGAGTTCAGTGGTAGAAATGGTCTTCGGGCAGTCTTTCTTACACTTGGGCCAATGCCAGTTACACAGCCATTGGAAATGTAATCAATTTTACTTTATCTTTTTCTTTCAACATGGTGATGGTTGTTTTGAGTGCCCAAACTGAGATGGTGATTCTGCTCACTTTCATCCTTGATAAGTGGGACTAGTGCCTTTCCCTCAGGTGTCATCATCTGCTGTCACCCCACACACTGCCGCCGTTCTGGGGATTGGCCCATGGGGTCCAGTACAGTGTCCTGCAGTTTCCATGACGAGTTTCCATCTGTCCTTTGGGTCCGTTGGTCTGGGACTATTATAATAATAAGGAAATCTAAACAAGTTATTGTAACCTTCTTACAGTTGGTATTTTTTTTTTTTTTTAAGAATTTATTTGAGAGAGAGCGAGAGCTGTGAGAGAGAGAGAGATCAGGAGCAGGGGGAGGGGCAGAGGGAGAAGCAGGTTTCCCGCGGAGCAGAGATCCCAGGACCCTGGGATCATGACCTGAGCCGAAGGCAGACGCTTAACCAACTGAGCCACCCAGGCGCCCCTCTTATAGTTGGTATTTTTTAAGAGAAAGCTTAAAAACAGAATGTATGCATGGTCCTATGAAATGCTGATTTTTAAATTTCAATTTTGCTTACAGTGCAGCAACCAGATCCAAATCAGCCAAAGCCTGAGGGAAGCCAGATGGTGGTGCTGAGAGGGGAACCTCTGGCTGTGGGGGTCCCCTGGCCCCCGTCCCTGCTGGCCGCCCTGCAGCGGTGGGGTACGACGCAGCCCAAAGCCCCCTGTCTGACCGCCTTGGACACGGCTGGGAAGGCCGTCTACACCCTCACCTATGGCAAGTGTTGAAAGCAGCTGGGCTCTGGTTTAGCTGTAAAATGTCACATGTCATACAGCTCAGACATACAGCTTCACGAACATGCTAGAACAATTCCCAAGAAACCAACACAACTGTCAGAACAACAGAACATTGCCTCACTCCAGGTGCCCCTCCTGGACCACTGCCCCTTCCTCCCAGCAGAGGGGACTCCTCACTGACTGATGGCGACCAGCCACTGCTCTGGTGTCGAGGTTCCCATCCAAATACGCACCTCTGAGCAATGGAATTTGGTTTTGTCTCATTTTGAACTTTGTATAAATGAAATCATACAGTATGTATTTTTTGTGTTTGGCATCTCTTGGTTCCGTATTATATTTTTATGTAACACAAATCATAAGCGTCTGGCTCGATGCATTTTCACGGAGTGAATGTACTCCTCTAACTAGCACTCAGCTCCCTAGGCCCCTTGTGTCCCTTCCAGCACGTACATCCTCACAATGATGGTTGAACTGTCCTGATGCTTGTGAACACTTCTGGCTCTCCCTGTCCAAGTTTTACGTAAATGGAATTAAGTGAAAGGTGTTGTGTGTGCATTCTTTTGTGCAGCATTGTTTAGGAGACTCAGCCATGATGTTGTGTGAGGCTCATTGATGGATGTGTTTATTGTATGAGTATGCCAAAAATTACTTGCGTGCTCTACAGTAATGGACCTTTCCACTGGGGCTATTGTGTATGGTGCTGTTATGAACATTCTTAGGTGAGTCTGTCTGTGCTGGGCATAAATGTGCATGTACAAGCAGCCGTGTTCGGCTTTAGGACAGACACACTGTTACACTGTGTCCAAACTGTGTGCAGACTTGTCCTTGTTCCACACCCTTGTCAACACTTGATCTTGTCTATTTCATTTTAGCCTTTCCTGTAGGTGTTTTATGGTGTCATTTATGGTGGTAATTTATTTGCGTTTCTCTGATGCCTAATAATACTTTTGTATGTTTATTGGCTGTTTGAATATCCTCTTTTATGTACTATCCAGATCTTTGGCTCATTTTTCCATTTGGTTGCTCATGTTTTCTTCTTTGTATGTTTTAGATACATGTCTTTTGTCAGATTTGTTTTGCAAAAGTCTTCTTCCACTCTGTGGACTGTCTTTTAACACTTTGTGTGGCTTTAGATAAATAAGAAGTCTTAATCTAATTAGTCTAATTTATCTATTTTTTTCCCTTTATTTTAGCGGCTTTTTGTCCTGTTTGCCAAACCTAAGGTCACAAAGATATTCTACTTTTTCTTCTAAAAACTTGCTTTACTCTTCATATTTAGGTGTCATGATTCATCTTCAGTTTAGTTTGTATGGTGTGACATTGGAATCATTTTCTTTCCTAGTGAATGTCTAATCGACCTAGTACCATCTACTGAAAAGGCAATCCTTTCCCCAGGCATATCAGGTGAAAAGATACATGTGGGTCTGCGGCTGCCCTCATGCTCTTCTGTCTGTCTGTCATGCTCTTTTGTCTGTCCGTGCTCCCTGAACGCCTACAGCTTTATGAGCCCTGGTGTCTGGTATAGATGCCCTTCAGCTCTGTGATTGTTCCTTACGGTTTTCTTGACTATTCTTGGCTCTTTGCATTTCTAAGCCATCTTTTGAATCAATTTGTTAATTTCCAGAAAGATTCCTGCTGGGATATTGATTGGCACTGCATTGATTCTGTAGTTAAATGTGAAGAGAATTGATACCATTATAGTTACGGAATCTTCCGATTCAAGACTGTGGAATATTTTCCCCTTACTTCAAGGCCCCCTTTAATTTCTCTCATTAATGTTTTATACTTTTGAGTACAGAACTCTTGAGCATCTTTCATTAGACTTATTCCTATTGAAATGGAATGATTAAAAACTTTTTTCTGCTCATTTGTTGCTTGTATATAGAAGTGCAATTGATTTTTTAAATGGTGATTTTTAAAAAAAAGATTTTATTTATTTGAAAGAAAGAGAGAGAGAGAGCACAAGCAGGGGGAGGGGCAGGCAGAGGGAGAAGCAGACTCCCTGCTGAGTAGGGAGCCCAATGTGGGGCTTGAACCCAGAACCCTGGGATCATGACCTGAGCTGAAGGCGGACGCTTCACCGACTGAGCCTCCCAGGTACCCCTAAATGGTGATTTTGTATCCAATAATCTCATTAAATTAACTTACTAATTCTTTTTCTGTTTGTTAATTAGTAGTTTGTCCATATATCTTTTGGATATCCTATGTTCAAAGTCATGTCATCTATGAACAAAGACAGTGTTATTTTGGCTTTCCCAATACTTGTGCCTTTTATTTTTTTCTTGCCTCACTGAAGAGCTAGAACCCCAGTACAGTGTTGGGTAGTGGGCATATGCTTGCTTCCTTCTCCAGCTCCGGTGGAAAGCTTTGGGTCATGAAGTATGATTGCTATTTTGTGGTAGAAATTCTCTGTCAGATTATGGAAGTTCCCTTCTATTCCTAGTTTACCAGAAGTTTTTTTTTTTTTCTAATCATGGATGGCATTGAATTTTATAAAACACTTTTTCTGCTCTGTCAAGATGATCGTATCTTTCTCTCTCCTCCCCACTTAATTTGATGAATTACATTGATTAATTTTCAAATGTTAAGCAGCCTTGGCATTCCTAGAATAAATCCCACTTCACCATGATAATCTTTTTAACAAATGCCTGAATTTGATTTAGCCAATATGTTGTTTAGGATCTTTGCATCTGTATTCATGAGAGCTCAATCTGTAATTCCTCAGAAAGGCGCTCACTGCCCGCCTTGAGGAGTGTGGTCTGCTTACAGCCCCCACCTGTTGAATTGAGGTCTCTCTCTCTCTCGTCCTTCTGGGACTTTGATTACACTTATACCTTTTTTGAATCCCATATAACTTTAATGTTCTTTTTTCTTTTTTTTTTTTTTAAAGATTTTATTTATTTATTTGACAGACAGAGACACAGCGAGAGAGGAAACACAAGCAGGGGGAGTGGGAGAGGGAGAAGCAGGCCTCCCGCGGAGCAGGGAGCCCGATGCGGGGCTCGATCCCAGGACCCCGGGATCATGACCTGAGCCGAAGGCAGACACTTAATGGCTGAGCCACCCAGGCGCCCCTAATGTTCTTTTTTCTATTTTGTTTTCTTTTCTATGTATTTGGTTGACCCTTGAACAATACAGGGGTTAGGGGTGCTGACCCCTGCACAGTTGAAAACCCAAGTATAAGTTTTGACTACCCCCATAACTTAACTACTACTAGTCTGCTGTTGACCAGAAGGCTTACTGATAACATAAACAGTTGATAACACTTATTTTATATGTTGTTTTTATTATATATTGTATTCATACAATAAAGTAAGCTAGAGAAAAGAAAATGTTATTAAGAAAACCTTAAGGAAGAGAAAATACATTTATAGTATTTATCAAAAAAAATCCACTAAGTGGACCTGTGTTATTCGAGGGTCATCTATACTTCAGTTTGGAGATTTTTAAATTTTCCTTTATTCAAATTCTCTAATCCTATCTTCTGTGAAATTTTTATTCTATTATGAAATTCCTGATGAGTTCTTAATTTTGATATTGTCTTTTTAGTTTAGAATTTTCACTTCTGTATTCTAATTCCTCTTCTAATTTTCTAGGAAAATTCTTTATCATTCCATGCATTGTCTTCATCCTTTCCTTTATTTCCCAGAATCCATACATCCCTTACCACGATGGAAAGTTTCTGTCAGCCAGCTCCAGGTCGGGTCACCTCTGGGCCTGTTGCTGTTGTCTGTGCTTTCTCTTGGTTTTAGTTTGGGGAATTTATCTTTGGGATGCCTGGTACCTTTTTGATTAAATGTTGGACATTGTGTGTAAAAAATTATGGAGGTTCCAGATGATGTCCCCTCCATGAGAGACGTCCCTCCTTCACTCCACATGGCAGGTAGCATGGTGGCTGGTCTCTGCCGTGCAGTTGGGGCTGGCTCAGCCCCCCTCTGAGCGCCTGTCTGTCCTTCTCCTCCAGGGTTCCCCAGCCATGGCTTTTGTCTCATGTGCTACGTAAGGACTCCACTTTGCTTCTCAGAGGTTTTCCACATGGGTTTTCAGCCCCTGTTGCTCACAGCCCCAGGACTCCGTAGATTTCCTAGGGGGAGGCTGGTTGTGCTGTCGTGGCTCCCAGCCTCTGCCAAAAGCTCTGCTGTTACCTTCATGCCTCAGTGGCACTGCTCCAGGGGCATGAATCCATGAGATACTCTGTCTCCTGTGGGTGCCAGGGCCCGCATAACCCCCAGCTGTGCACGGTCAGCTCGCCTTCCCGAGGGTTTTCCCTCTCGAGCCTTAACTCCTCTAGTTGTCTTTGCTGGATGATTTCTGCATTTTAACCAGTTGTTGGATAAAATTGTTCTAGGTGGGAGCCCTGGTCTGTCAGCAGTACTGTCTCCTGTTTGGAAGCAGAGTCTTTTACCATTATGCTTTTATGAGTCATATTATTGTGTGTAGTTGTAGCTTATTCATTTCTGTCTAAGAATGAATAGATCAGAATTTACATATTGGCTATAATGTTGATACCCAGTTTTGGCTCTCACAAACAATGCTGCTAAGAACGTTCTGGGGTGGGGGCGCCTAGGTTGCTCAGTCGTTAAGCGTCTGCCTTCGGCTCAGGTCCTGGGATCGAGCCCCACATCGGGCTCCCTGCTCTGCGGCAAGCCTGCTTCTCCCTCTCCCACTCTCCCTGCTTGTGTTCCCTCTCTCGCTGTGTCTCCCTCTGTCAAATAAATAAATAAAATCTTTAAAAAAAAAAAACGTTCTGGGGTGTGCCACCTGGTACATGAGCATGCATTTTTTAGGGGCTGTACTCCTGAGTGGAAGTGTTGGGTCTGGGATTAAGCATATCTTCACATTTATCAGACAATGCCAAACGTTCCCAGTTTACACTTAACTGATCAGTGTGTCAGTCCCATCTGTTCCCCATCGTCAGGCTTCCTGGGGCTAATCTGGTGAGAATATGGTAGTAGTATTTCATTTGGGTGTTAATTTGCATTTTCCTGATCACAGAGTAGATTGACATCTTTTCCTATTTTTTTTTTTTTTAATCATTTGGGTTTTCTCTTTTCTTAAGTACTACTGAATCTTTTGCACATTTTTTATGTAGGGTTATTTGTGGGAATTTTTGGTGTCTTCTGGATACTAGTCCTTGTCAGTGACATGTGCTGCAAGTGTCCCCCACTGTGAGCCTTCCCCATCCACTGCTGACCAGTACCTTAGTGAGCAGAAGCTCCGCCCAACCTCACCTTCTTTTATGTTCATGGTGAATGTTTCCGGAGTTCTCCTTAAGGACTCTACCTAAGCCAAGGTCATAAAGTTATTCTCTTGTCTTGCAATAGCTCTGCTGTTTTGCCATTCACATTTAGATGTACCAAATCCACTGGGAATGAGTCTTGTGTACAGCGTGGGGATGGGTCCCAGGGTCCGTTTTTCAGGACTGATAGCCATCTGTCCCATTCTCGTTCCCACAGGGCCACCACCCTTCTCCAGGCCACCTGTGTCATAGATGGAATTGTCCACACATGGTGGACACACATGGTGGGGCTGTTGCGGTTCTTTGTTTTATCCCATGGAGTTAATATACTACCCTCATGCCAGTACCAACTTCCTGAATTACTGTGGCTCTATAGTAAATCTTGACATCCATGGAGGACGTCAAGAGATTCATAATGTACCAGTCACATCATCTGCAAATAATGACAGTTTTGTTTCCAACTGTTGGCCTTCTCTCTCCACCCCTCCCCCTTACTGCGTCGGCTAAGACTTTCAATAAAAAGGCAGATGTCCTTGGCTTGTTTCTGCTTCCCCAGGGAAAGCTTTCAATATCTGACCATTAATTCTGATATTTCCTGTAGGACTTTTAGAGATGGGCTTTATCAACTTTAAGTAAATTTCCTTTCATTCTGAATTTAAATCATTTAAAATCCTGGATGATTGTTCAATTGTTTTACCTTTTTTCACTTTTGTTAATGTGACAAATTATGTTGATTTTCTGTTAAAACTTTTTGCACTTTTTTAAGATTGATTTATTTATTTGAGAGAGAGTGAGTGCATGAGAGTGGGGCAAGGGGCAGAGGCAGAGACGGAGAGTCTTCAAGCAGACTCCCCACTGAGCGCGGAGCCCTAGGTGGGGCTCAGTCTCACCACCCCAAGATCATGACCTGAGCCCAAACCAAGAGTCGGACGCTCAACCTATGAGCCACCCAGGTGCCCCAAAACTTTTTGCATTCTTGAGATAAACTGACTTTGTCATGATACATTATTCTTTTTATATATAGCTGGATTCAGTTTGAAAATCTGGATTATTACAGTTATCAACATCTTGAATTGACCTTTGTATATAGACAAAGGCAATAGTGTTTTGAGTTGAATATTTTTTTTCTCACTGATTTCTCAGGTCCCACAGTTCACTTATTTCATAATGTTGCACCCATGTTTAGTTTTATTTATGATGAAATCTGAGCACTATTCGGGGGGCATGGCTGCTCAAATTGCATGTGGTCATTCCCCAGGAATTTGAAAGGGGCTGAATCATGACTCTTGTGTTGCTTCTTTGGTACTACGTAGGGTGGTTGTTGAGGCTGCTTCAGGTGTTGGGGATGGACTCGGGTTTTTCTGTCATCCTACCCCATTGTTGCCCCTCCTCGGTCTACCTCCCAGAGGCCTTTAGACTTCCTTCCCTTTCCTTTGTTTCACCGTCCATCTTCCAAGTGACGCTCTCCTTTGTTGAGCGTTCACGGCTGCGCTCTGTACGTGAGCCTGCGTGCTGGAGGGGCGTGTGCCCGGCAGAACCTGCTGGGCCTGAGGGCTGGGTCCCGGAGGGACTGACATCTCCTGGAGGGACTGATGTCTTCTGGAGGGACTGACGTCTCCTGGACGGTCTCCTCTTGTGTGAAAACTGGAGATGGAGATAGGACCCACCTCATGAATTATAGAGGTTAAATGAATTCTATGCCACTCATAATCATAATAAGGGATGTAGTTGAGAGATATTTAATGACATGAAAATGCATCCGAAATGCAATGTTGACTGAACAAAGCAGAGTGAAGTATGATCCAATTTCTTGAAAATTGCATGTACATGTATATATGCTTTTGTGTCTGTGTGTGTTGTGTGTGTGTTCATACATAACTGAAAGAATGCTGACTTTTTTCTGTTAGCTTCTCTATGTTCTAAATTTTCTATAATAAATTCCTGTTCTATTTTTGCATTAAGAAAAATAAATCCATAAGTTATTTTTAAGAGAAAACTATGATGTTCATTACAGCATTGTGCAAAATAGTTATCAGTTGGAAACTACCTGAATTTCCAATAGTAGAGTGATGGTACATTTTGGGATATTGTGATTGCTACATCAAAATGTTATTTATCAGTTTCTTAAATTTTACATTGCTTAGTATTTTTATTTTATTTTAGGCAAACTTTGGAGTCGGAGTTTAAAACTAGCTTATACTCTACTTAATAAACTGACTAGTAAGAATGAACCACTACTTAAACCTGGAGACAGAGTAAGTAACTAGAATATAACTTATTGGAGTGAGCAAAAGCAAACTCTAAAAATATGTCTCATTGAAATCAGTATTCCATCAGTTGGTTAGACTTATAGTATTAATACAAGGGGTTTAAAGTCAGCAAAGAAAAATATTAAATATGGACAAAGTTTATGATGATGTACGTAAGATCATGGTTCTTTTCATTCTTCATTGCTCATCTACTGACTCTTCCAACATCTTTCCTCTTTGACTTCATACCTATTGATTTTAGTAAAAATATTAATATTAATAAAAATTGGATCCCCAGAGCTTAAGTTTTATGAGAAAACGTTGACCCTACTTGGAAATTCATCTCTTCCTCTCGTCCATGTGGCCAGGCAGCCCCCTCTTACCTCACTGCTGAGGTAGAACATGAGGAGGCTAGAGGCTTATTTGTTCCTTGTACTTACTACACTGCCCAACATTGTTGCAGTAGCCACATGGGGCCACTTAAATTAACCACGGTTAAATAAAATAAAAAATTTAGTTCCTCAGTCACCCAAGCCACGTTTCAAGGGCTCGTGAACCACACGTAGCTAATAGCTACCACATTTGATAGCTTGGAGATAGAACGTTTCCGTCATCATAGGAAGTTCTGTTGGTGAGCATGGCTCTGGGCAAACTGAAGCAGACACGAGGAGCGCAGGTAGACCAGAACGTCCACGATGGAGGGCAGGACACTCAACAGTGAGACCCCCTAGTGAGAGGGCTGTTGTGGTCAGATCGCCCCACAGTGAAACTATAAGTTTCAGGCAACTCTTTGTCCACTCTTGAAAAAGAACCAGTCACCCAGGGCATTTGAAGAATGTGAAAGAAAACAACCAACAGGCAAAGAAAAGAAAAACAAGAAAAGGGAAAAGGGGGGGGCGGTGGGGGGAGGAAACAAACGTGGAAGAAAGTCACATACAGAAAATAAATGTTTTTAAAAAATTAGTTTTAATATCCCTGGAGAACTAAGGTGAAGTTATTGCTCCACAAATCAAGACAAAGATGCTAGTGGGGAAGGCTAAGAGATGGAAAGTGGGAAGGACAGAAACTGAGCCTTGGTCAAGAAGGTCCGGTGTCTGGCTGGTAGGAGTTCTAGACGGGAAAGGGGACAGAGAGTAGAGAATTTTAAGTGGTGGTAGTAATGCCCGTCAACATCCTGAAGCTGGAGAGTGAGAGGGCCCGCAGCAGAGCTCCTTGCCACTTACTGAGCAGGACCAGGGTGCAGAAACCAGCCTCCGAGCTTCCAGGTGGGCAGGAGCGAGCCAAGGTGTAGGGTGGCCTGGGAGGACAGAGGCCCCAGGCCGGGGTACGCTGCTGGGCATCTGGTAAGACTTAGGACAACCTGACGGGTTGGTTACTTAGAAAATACTTGCGAAAGGTATTGAACACATCTGGCGGAGCATTTTAGAGCATATTTGGCCAGCAGATACATGGAAAGCAAAGCAAGTAGAGGTGGCAGTTACCATCAGCAGATGTGGACTCGGCTGAAAAACGAGAATAGTCCGAGAACGGTACTTGATACGTTGTGCTTTAGAATGAAACTGTAAGAGTTCCTGATTTATGTTGTGCTTTAAAATGACTCTAAGAATCACTAATTTAATTTTCTTGAAAAAGATTCCTGCAAGGACAGAGACTACCAGATACCCTTCTTGACTCCTGAGAGAGTCCACGTAGTTAGGTTAATTATGGAAGGTCGACAGATCACAGTGAATGAGCTAACTATCAGATATGGGTAGCCAATTCATCACCCTGTGGGAAAAAGAGTTTATAAAAGTAAACAAACACAACTCTAAATTCTCTAAAAATGTTTTTATACCAAATATCTAGTCTCAAAGCTGTGGGTCACAGTTCTGGTGCAACCACTATTAATATCAACTTTTAAAGGAGAGCTTTGCCCTTTTCAGCAAATTAACTTGTTAGAAACTGGATTTCCAGACCTCAAGGAGAGAGTAGAGGTGTAGCTTAAATTGTGTCTTATCAAGTAGTTCTACGTAGCCATTGTTTTGTGTCCTCAAGGGCCCGGTGTTAGCATCTACTATCCTGACTTTATCACTTATGGTTTCAAACACACTTATTACAATATTTGGGGCTTATAAAAATCTTATTCCATAAATAGCTTTTAATTTTACCCGATGTTGTTAGAAATGGCAGCTGCAAGGATGGGGAAGAGAAAGGCAGGAATGAAGAGGGCTGGGAACTCATCTACAATAATGGGAAATAAAGTCTATACTGAGACATTTTCAACGATAGAATATAGCAATGTAAGCATAATACTTAAAAATATGAGAGTAAATAGCAAAAGGAAGATGTAAGATATTTTTGAAGAGGTTGCCTTGGGGAGTGAGGAAGGGTGGAGCATGAGGGTATTGTTTTCCATTAGTACTTTTGTCATCTTAAATTCTGTGTTTTTAAAATGTTTTTGATAAAAATGAAAGTGTAAGATGAATAAAATAGAGCATGTAACTTAAACAGTGGCAGCATGGGGACCAGGGGACTCTGCGGGAGGAGCAGCGGTGGGGGTCTCCGCTGAGGGGTCCGGTGCCCTCCCCCCTTCCCTGTCAGTACATTTAAGTCTTGAGCGAAGATCTGTTCGACTAAAACTTTGGTGTTAGGATTTTATCTTGTGGAAGGTATTTTGGGTATAATTTGGTGCCGTGCCCACTCTTCCTGTTGCTGTGGGTGTTTTTCGCCCAGGCTGACAGATGTGGGTGGTGTGCTCCAGACAGACAGCGTGCACGGAGCGAGCCAGGTCTCCGTCCCACGCCAGACTCGTGCTGGACGGCCGTTACGCACAAACGCTCTAAATTATTCTGTTGCTTGTAGAATAAAGACCTCAACCTGAAAACTATTTATGAAAAGTTACATGGTTGAGGAAATCTAAGGACCAGGAATTAACCCCCAAATTACATTTTCTGAACTACATTTGAAAAACTGTAAGATGATCTAAAATGTCCAAATTCCATCTAGTCAGCAGGGGTTCTGAACGTTGGGGTGACGGCATCATTCGTGAGTGGATTTCATGGATTTCCTTTGTACTGTTGTAGGTGGCCCTGGTGTTTCCAAACAGTGACCCTGTGATGTTCATGGTGGCATTTTATGGGTGTCTCCTGGCAGACCTGGTTCCTGTCCCCATAGAAGTGCCATTAACAAGAAAGGTAGCTAACTCGGTCGGGGCTGTGGGGCTCCGGCCCCATGAGGTTCTCTCCGGAAGCTGGCGCCTTCCTGCTGGAGCGACCTGGCAGCCGGGCGCTGTGTGGAGTGAAGAGAGGGAGGCAGGCAGGCCAGGGCTTGAGAGAGTGTTAGATGCGGTGCCGGCTGCAGTCCGCTCTCGTGTGTCTTGTTGTGAGAGGGACTTTAGAAGCTTAGACGGAGCTCTTACGTCATCTCTGTGAACTTTTCAGAACAAATGGTGCATGTTTTTTCCTCTGATGGATAGAATTCACGATCAGATTTTGTTAAATCTGTCTCTCAAAACCATACACTTATCGATAATAATTTTCATTTCTTGAGAATGAGTAAGTCACACCGTGACATATTGTAACTCCTTCTCAGTGATAGTTTTGAATATGGGAGATGGGAATTTGCTTGCTTTTCTGTCTGCTTACGTAACAGCAAGCAGTTTTTACTACTGACAAATGATTAATGTGGGGGACTTGGTGATGTTCTAGGGAGCTATTACATTTCAAGTATAAATGTCAGTAATCTGATTATTGAAAAAAAGTAATTATTTTAAGAGTACACAAGGCACGTGTTTTAGAAAATTAGAGTTTTCTACCCTATCAGTGTTCAGGCAGTTAAAGTAAGCATTACCAGCAACAAATACTCAAGAATCCCAAAAGTGAAGTTTGACATAAAACCAGTACACCCCAGAGGATGATATATGATGAACAGATATTTGAATACAGAGATTCTTCAGAAAAAGCAAGATTTGTCAAACTTGCAGGAAGAAAGTGACAAAACGTTACTGAGGGATATGTATAAAAGAAGCATTGACTGGAAGGAAATGTGCATTTCTGTGGGAAATAAGTAATTGTGTTAAAGTGTTAAAGGTTGGGCCTCCCCAGATTAATCTGCAAATTTTAAAGATGACTCACGTGGAAATTTCCATGCTATTATTTTTGGTTTATTAAAATGCTGCTACATGTCATTTACAAGAAAACACTGAGAAATTGGCTCATTATCCAGAACTTTCTATTTCATTGCAAAAATATATCTTTTCAACTTAAAAATGATTCTATTGTATTTCCATGAAAATACAGCATATACCCATCTAGGATTCAGTTGTAGAAGTTGATGCGGGCGAATGAAGGTGAAGGGCTCAGCTCTCTGGGTGGGCCTGAGTGGTGCAGGGCCCTCTGTGGCAGCCCCGTGAGCGCCTCGCTGTGTTCTCTGCAGGACGCTGGCAGCCAGCAGGTCGGGTTTCTGCTGGGCAGCTGCGGCGTCGCCCTGGCCCTGACCACGGATGCTTGTCAGAAGGGCCTGCCCAAGGCACAGACGGGAGAGGTGGCGACTTTCAAAGGTAGGCCCCCAAGGGCAGGGGAGGTGTCTCCAGCAGGAGTGGGGTCCTTGTCAGAGGCCTGCGCGTCTCGCTTGCCCCCGGTTCAGAGTCACTGTTCAGAGGCACCCACTGAATTAAATATAAATTAATACAAAGTGAACGGGACGGAGACTTGTGTTCCCCAGGCGCACAGTAGCCGGTGGCTGTGTGGTGGGGGCTCAGCCCTGAGGCCCGCTGACCACTGTCCTGGGCCATCTGTACCCTTACAGGATGGCCCCCGCTCTCCTGGCTGGTGATCGACGGGAAGCATCTGACCAAGCCCCCCAAAGACTGGCACCCACAGACCCAGGATGCAGGGGCTGGGACCGCCTACATCGAGGTAATGGCCTCATCTAACTCAGAGCACGTTGAAGCAGCCCCCACAGGCTCAGCTCTGGTTTCTCATGAGTGTAAGCTGCCATTTATTTTAGGTTACAGGCTTAAACTTACCCTTCTGTTTGATCTTCACCCCAGAGACAGAAAGGGTCGGCAGCACTGCGTTAGCCCGCATGCGCTGCTGTACCCAGGCACTTACCCCAGGGGTGCCCCACTTTCCTCTGTGGGTGTCACCCCAAGACTCACGGCGTATCATGTGCTCCCATGTGACGGGATGGTTAGTGAGGGACGGACAACTGACCACTTCTTTTTAAATTCTGTCAGCCTCCCATTCAGTCTGCCGTGACCTCCAGAAGCATCCCATAAAGGGTTTTTTTTCTTGAAATCTTTCAGTATAAAACCAGCAAAGAAGGCAGCACAGTGGGGGTCACGGTGTCCCATGCATCCCTGCTGGCCCAGTGCCAGGCTCTGACCCAGGCTTGCGGCTACTCAGAAGGTAAGGGCGTGCAGGCTCCTGGGGACTGTGGCTGTGTGTCGACCTAGCCCTTTCGCCCAGGTGGGGCCGGGCGCCAGAGTGCTCAGGGCCCTCTGCTTGTGCTGGATGCATGGGGGTTAGGTCATCCAGGCAGGCCCATGCAGTGTCCTTTCCAGTACATGTGTGTGTCTGTTGATCTTAAGGAGCATGGAATTCATATACCACCACTTAGGCGTGGTGGCTGGTTCCTTCTGTGACATAGCTGAGGGGCAGTGTATTTTGTACTTAAAAAAATGGAAAACCATCTTAATGGACCCACTTCTGTATTACTGTTTTCTATGACTGTGGTTTTGGCAAAAACTGTCATGCATGCAAATATACAAACGGAATCTTGAAAGTCATAGATTTTCTGTTGGTGATAAAGGCAGCACCTCCCCCCATTTACTGTTAAATATCGGATATTTAGCTTAGAACTGTTCTTTTAAGAAACTATAAAAATGATGGTTTCCCCACTGTAACAATACTGGAATTGAATAAAACTAGAAAGTAAATTGAATGGTATGTTTTAAATAACTAAAATACAGGTGTTTAAAAGTAAGGGGAAAATAAAATAAAAGTCAGGGGTCGCTGCAGACTTCAGTGGAGATTTGGAGGATGATTTTAGATATATTCAAGGGCCTGAATAATTTTTTGAAAATTGGATCTATTAAGTCACATGTGTGCTTTTTCTGGACATGTGTATATCACGTATCATTTGGGTGCTTTAGCAACAGAAGGAGCATACATACAGAGCTCTCAGAAAGCAGTCTCATCTCCCGGCACAGCAGACTCATGTTCACCATTGGTGTCTATCCTGAGGGGTGCACGTCGAGGTTGCTGTGGCTTCGGTGGGGGGCCTGCAGCCAGGTCCTGCAGAGCACGGGGCTCTGTGGGCAGCCCCGGGTCGCCACCCTTACTGGAGGAGAGCAGAGAGAAGGGACAGCTTTCTGAGGGGAAGCAACATGAGCAGCATGTGTTGTTTCCCAAAGATGCAGGGTGGTGGCCTCGGTGTGAGAATGGGGGCATCTGGATGTACAGTGAGAAGTAAGCATATCCATCTGCAGTGGGAGAGTCTCGAGGGGCTGCTCAAGTACACGCTGTTCCTTATGTTTTCAGATTAGTGATCAGCATAACTCTGTGTTGTTTTTTTTTTTCAAGATGTTTACTGATTTTTATTTATTTATTTGAGAGAGACAGAGAGGGAGAGAGAGAGCACGAGCAGGGGGAGGAGTAGAGGGAGAGGGAGAAGCAGACTCCCCGCTGAGCAGGGAGCCCAAATGGTGGCTCGATCCCAGGACCCTGGGATCATGACATGAGCCGAAGGCAGACACTTAACGACTGAGCCACCCGGGTGCCCCAGCATAGCTCTGTTTTAATCCAAAATTGTATGACCTACTTCTGAGTTTTTCTAGTAATTTGAATAAATAACCAAGACGATTGATTAATTGGTACATGGTATTTGGAAATGGTGTGTATGTTTCCTAGAGCTCTTCATGTCAATCAATGATGTATTCATCTCGGAGTTTCTTTAAAAATGCACATGACTTGTGAAGAGGGTCACAAGTGGTTTAACCATCTTTGTCCACTTTCAGCTGAGACATTAACAAATGTGCTGGATTTCAAAAGGGATGCTGGTCTGTGGCATGGAGTGTTAACAGTGAGTGTTGTATGCTAAATGATCTAATGGTTGGAATTGAGGGATCCTAATGCTTCATATCAATAGATGACACCAAGCCCTATTTTTAGGTGATGTAATTAATCCTTATCTGAACTGAAGTGTCATCATGAGGAGGGCGTTGATGTTATCTTTGCCTTCTCTGGCGTGGTGTGGCCCTCTGCTGTCTGCACCTGAGCGAGGCCTGCCCCTTGAGCACCTCCGTTTCTTCCACAGAGTGTCATGAACAGGATGCACGTCATCAGCATCCCGTACGCGCTGATGAAGGTGAACCCTCTGTCCTGGATTCAGAAAGTGTGTTCCTATAAAGGTAATGGGAAATAGCACCGTCATCTGACTCATCCTTCATTCAAGAAGTAACTTTGATTTAATCCTTGGTGATTCAGACAGTCATAAAGCCGACATGCGGAACTGCAGGGATGAGCTGAGGAGCGCTGACGGCCTGCGTGCACCATGACCAGTCGTGGACTGTGTCTGGCCTGTGCACACGGCCCGGGCGGCCCTTGCGGGGGACGGCCCCGTGGCAGCTCTCTTCTGCAAACACCATAGGCTACCAATTTTGTTCTCTTGAAATTTTCTTTACAGTCCCATCAGTGCTCCCGGTTCTTAGTAGTGGGGATGGCTTTAATCTGAGGTTAGGGCTTTAGAAGCTACCAGCGCTAGAGCTGTTGATTCCCAGGAAGCAGTGTGGACAGAGGGCCATGGGGCTGCCCGGAGGCCTTGCCCGCCTGCCCCCTGCCTTGGTCAGCCACAGGGCTTCCCCATCCCTCGGGCTCTGCTCCAGCAGGCCTGGGGGGCCCCTTCGCGACCCCCTGAGGCTGGGCCTCAGGTTTGTCCGCACACTCCCTCGTCCTGGGGACCCGTGTAGACTCAGGTGTGTCTGTGAGGCGCAAGCGTGCCTCTTTCCCGTGACGCAGGGCACTTATGTGCTCCCCCTCTGCAGCCCGGGCCGCGCTGGTCAAGTCCCGCGACATGCACTGGTCTCTCCTAGCTCAGCGAGGTCAGAGGGACGTCAGCCTCAGCTCACTGCGCGTGTTGATCGTGGCGGACGGCGCTAACCCCTGTGAGTAAGCGCAGCCGAGCGAGGGCGTGGCCAGGGCCTCCCCGCCGCTGGCCTGACTTGGGAGGGAAGAGGTTCAAGTACAACATGCCGAGAAGCAGCGCTGAGGTGTTACATCCCTAAATGTTCTGCCGTGTGCTGGGCCACACGCCCTCTTGGTGGGGACTCCCTGGTGTATCTTGTGCATGTTTATGAAGGCACTGGATTTAAAGCAATTTTAACACCTCGGACAGAAGCTACATTAGGAGATGGCCGGAATGTAGATATGGACTGGGAGCCTGTCCCAGCCTCTTGTCCTGGGCCCCTGGGGCCCCAGCGATCCGGCTCGGCCTCCTGGGATCTCCCCTGGCGTGCCGCTGTGCGCCCTGGGCCCTGCGCAGGGTCTGAGTGTGGCTGCTTGCTGGCGGCTGTCTGAGGCCTGCCGCGGGGCGTTCCCTGGGGAGGTGCGGTGGGCCTTCGTGGGGGCTTCTATGCGGCACAAAGCCCTCGACCAGGTGGGGGGCTGTTCTCGTTGCTTTAACAGCTGTTTTTGCATTGAAGCACCTGGACCGGGAGCTGGCCTTTCATCCAGTCCCCTGAGGAGGGCCCTGATAGCCCTGCGCCCCTGGTCCCCCACCGCCCAGGAGGGCACCCTGCCGTCGAGCTCCTCCAGCCGTCCCTGGGCCCAGCAGGGCCCCTCCGTCCTGCCTCCAAGACACCCAGGGCTAGGTGCCCTGCATCCCCACGCCCGCCTGAACCCAGTCACATGCCCGGGCCTGGCCTCATGCCCCCGCAGGTCCTCCACTCTGCTGCACCCCCAGCAGCTCCTCACCGGGCACCGGGCTCACCCTCCTGGCTGCAGACCGCGGTCCCCCACCGACCTCAGATCCTGCCGCTCCGCGTGCCCTCTGGGGCCCATGGCACTGAATGACTGGGTTGTCTTGTGTGTCCTCTGCTGTCTGCCGGTGCCCAGCAAGAACTGGACGCAGCGCCCCTGCTTTTCCACAAGCCTTGCTGTGGCAGGGTGCCTGAGGGTCGTGGCACAGCCCTGGGGTCCCAGTGGGTGCAGCCCCGAGCAGGTGGCACCCTCCCGCCTGGGAGCTGAGCTTCCATATCCATGACACCTCAGACTGGCCGGGGCGAGTCGGGGAGAAGCAGGGGCAGCCCGGGGACGGTGTGTGGGCTGCCCCTGTGGGGGGTTACTTGGCCGGCCCCCCAGCCCTGAGGCACTTCCAGCAGCACCCGGGCCTCGCCATGAGGGAGGTTCGCCCCATAAATGCTTCTCGGTCACCTCCCATCAGCAGACCTGTGAGGAGATGGGGCGAGGGTGGGGCTGGCCGTGAGTTAGCGCTCAGACACAATGCAGGGGTGCAGCAGAGGCCTTCCTTGAGAAACGTCCAGCTCTTCCCTGCTGGTGGTTTCCAGACGCATCATGTTTTCCATGGAAGCAGCCCCACCCCTCCCCAGACGTCTCCTGGAGCGCTGGTGTCAGGCCTGTCCCTGTCAGCCCTCCAGTTACCCCACGTCTCCCTCTGTCTCACGCAGGGTCCATATCCTCCTGTGATGCGTTCCTCAATGTCTTCCAGTCCAGAGGGCTGAGGCCCGAGGTCATCTGTCCCTGTGCGACTTCCCCTGAGGCGTTAACGGTCGCCATCCGCAGGTGAGGTGGTTGCTTGCTCCGTCTTCCTCATGCAGCTGCAGTACCGCTGCTGCGGAGTGTGGGAGTCTGCCTCTAGGCAGGAGAATTCACGAAGCCACGCCGGGCCAGCTTCCCAGGCGTGTGCGCTGGTGGGGGGGCAGCCCTGGGCACCATGCCCCTCGCCCTGGGCTGGTCGCGCGTCTCCCTCCAGCCTGGATCCGTGCCGGGACTTGGGTAGCGGCTCCCGGGGCTGTGATCTCTGGGCTTGTTCTCCCTCCGAGGGCTCCTCTTCCTCCTTGGCCTTCATAAGCATCGCAGCCCGGAGCCCTTCCCTGCCCCGAGGGGGGCCCCTGGCATCTCCAGTGCCCAGCAGCCAGGGACGGGTCTGTACCTGTGGGGCTGTCCTGGAGAAGGGCCCTGGCCAAGCGCTCACCCCTGCCCCCTCCTGAGGAAGCCCCACCGCGGCTCCTGCAGCTGCATTCTCTCTGCGCTCCCCCCGTCTCAGCCCGGAGGGTGGGGTCAGGACCTCAGAGCTGGCAGGCTCTTGCCCTTCCTGCTCCTAACGGGCCACCTTTTCCTTCCCGGGTCCCCTCTCGCGGCCCTAGGGCTCCTGTCCGCAGCGGCCTCTGGGTGCCGTCCTGGGGTAGAGGGCCGTGTGCTCACAGTTGAGAGTGTCTCTGCGTTAATTTTCTGCTCTCAACCCAGTTATTAGAAAGTCAGTCGTGGTTGTGGTCTTGTGTTATATTAGTCTGTGCTTTCTTATGTGCAAGTATTGAATAATCCTAAAATTTTAATAACTTAGCAAGAAAAAGAACATCTTTGTCCTTCACAAACCATAAGGTATTCCTCATTCCTTTGCTCTGTGGTGACACCTCACTCCCATGCCTGGTGGCATCAGACACTGTATTTCTCCTGCATTCTGCGTCAGGAGTTTGGGAAGGGCTCTGCTGGTGGTTCTGGCTTGCAGCCTCTGGTCTCTGGACTGGACGCATTGGCGCTGCTCCGGGCTTCCTCGGGGCCTGTCCTTCTGCTGCCCAGGGCTCCCAGCAAGTGTCCCAGCACAGCCAGGCAGAAGCTGTCAGCTTTATGACCTCTCCGGGGAGGTCACAGAATGTCACTTAGACCCTGGCCACAGGCCCACCAGATGCCCCCGGCGGGGGAGGAGTGTGCAAGTGCCCATGCCGAGCAGCGCGCAGCGTCTTCAGCGGGCCTGTCCCCCACGGCCAGCCGTGTGTGGTGCAGAGCAGAGGCTTTGGTGCAGCGTCATCCTGCAGGCAAGCTGGGTACGGATCCCTCCCCCCCCATGGGCTCTGTCCCCTCGTCAGTGCGTCTGCTTTTGTCTTCCAGGCCGCCAGACCTGGGAGGACCTCCACCAAAGAAAGCTGTCCTGTCGATGAACGGTCTCAGTTTTGGTGTGATCAGAGTTGATACTGAAGAAAAGCTGTCCGTTCTTACCGTTCAGGACGTTGGTCAGGTGCTGCCGGGAGGTAAGGGACGAGCTGGAGTGTGTCCAGTCCCGCAGCTGCTTGACGTAACAGGAGTCCTGGGTGCTCCGGGCTTCATGGGAGTGCTCTGCAAGCTCACAAGCAAAAGGCTTCTGAGCAGTGGTTTTCCATGTATATTGAGGTTTTAATTTATAGTGTTATTTTTTCAGTTTTTTGCCTGGCTCTGTATTAAATTTAAGGTTGTGCAAAACCAGGAGGATCTGTTGGTGGCCCCTGAGCCGGATGTGGTTCTCCGGTGTCTGGGAGCTGGAGTGCTGACTGCATGTCAGGCATGGGCATCATGCTGCACACACATGAGGCATTGATCAGCTCCTGGCACTCCAGAGTCTGCAGACGGCCTGGTCACCGGATGCCACCAGCCGGGGTAGCAGGGATGTGTTCGGTCAGGAGCATGACTCTGAAGGTTGCAAGAAATTCCCGTTGCAGCCTCCTGCCCCCGGGCCCCCTGCACCTGGGTGCCGGCCCCGTGGCAGTGCCACAAGGAGAGGGTGGTGGAACGGCCTGCCTGTGGTCCTCCTGCAGAGCGTCGCGCAGGGAAATGGAGACCTGAGCCTGGCCCGGGAGGCCCAGTGACAGTTGTGAGCCGGGGAGGCTCTGCCTGCTGCTCTGTGGCTGCCCCTCACGGTGACGACCTCACGGTGGCTCGGCTTCCTCCTCGCCATGCAGGCCCTTCTGAGATTCATGGGCAGCTGTCTTGACCCACCCTGTGTGCGTGTGTGTGCACAGTGCTCCCCGCGGTGCGAGTGTGCATGTGTGTGTGTGTGTGCACGCATGTGTGCGTGTATGCGTGTCTGCACGGTGCTCCCCCGGCTGCGTGTGTGTGTGTGTGTGCGTGCATGTGCTCCCCTGGGTGCTTGCGGGTGTGTGCACAGTGCTCCCCCTGGTGTGTAGGTGCGTGTGCTCCCCTGGGTGCTTGCGTGTGTGTGTGCGTGTGCTCCCCTGGGTGCTTGCGTGTGTGTGTGTATGTGTGTGTGTGCACAGTGCTCCCCCGCTGCGTGTGTGTGTGTGCGTGTGTGCACGCATGTGTGCGTGCGTGTGCTCCCCCAGCTGCGTGTGTATGTGTGTGTGTGCGTGTCCTCCCCTGGGTGCGTGCGTGTGTGTGCGTGTGTGTGTGCGTGTGTGCGTGTCCTCCCCTGGGTGCGTGCGTGTGTGTGCGTGTGTGTGTGCGTGTGTGCACAGTGCTCCCCCAGCTGCGTGTGTGTGTGTGTGCCTGTGTGCACACATGTGGGCGTGTATGCGTGTCTGGACGGTGCTCCCCCGGCTGCATGTGTATGTGTGTGCGCACAGTGCTCCCCCTGGTGTGTAGGTGCGTGTGCTCCCCTGGGTGCTTGCGTGTGTGTGTGTGTGTGTGTGCTTGCATGTGTGTGTGCACAGTGCTCCCCCGGCTGCGTGTGTGTGTGGCGTGTGATCCCCTGGGTGCTTCCGTGTGTGTGTGTATGTGTGTGTGTGCTTGCATGTGTGTGTGCACAGTGCTCCCCCGGCTGTATGTGTATGTGTGTGCGTGCATGTGCTCCCCCAGCTGCGTGTGTGTGTGTGTGTGCTTGCATGTGTGTGTGCTCCCCAGCTGCGTGTGTATGTGTGTGTGCATGTGTGCACAGTGCTCCTCCAGCTGCGTGTGTGTGTGTGCCTGTGTGCACACATGTGTGCGTGTATGCGTGTCTGCACAGTGCTCCCCTGGCTCCATGTGTATGTGTGTGTGTGCGTGTGCTCCCCTGGGTGCTTGCGCGTGTGTGTGTATGTGTGTGTGTGCACAGTGCTCCCCCGCTGCGTGTGTGTGTGTGCGTGTGTGCACGCATGTGTGCATGTATGCGTGTCTGCACGGTGCTCCCCCGGCTGCGTGTGTGTGTGTGTGTGTGCGCACAGTGCTCCCCCTGGTGTGTAGGTGCGTGTGCTCCCCTGGGTGCTTGCGTGTGTGTGTGTGTGCTTGCATGTGTGCGTGCGTGTGCTCCCCCAGCTGCGTGTGTATGTGTGTGCGTGTCCTCCCCTGGGTGCGTGCGTGTGTGTGCGTGTGTGCTTGCATGTGTGTGTGCACAGTGCTCTCCCGGCTGCGTGTGTGTGTGTGTGCTTGCATGTGTTCATGCGTGTGCTCCCCCAGCTGCGTGTGTATGTGTGTGTGTGCGTGTCCTCCCCTGGGTGCTTGCGTGTGTGTGTGTGTGCGCACACAATGCTCCCCTGGATGCTTGCATGTGCACGTGTGTGTGCGTGTGTGCACAGTGCTCCCCCGGCTGCGTGTGTGTGCGTGTGCGTGTGTGTGTGTATGTGTGTCTGCGCGTCAGTTGTCAGGACCATTGCAGAGCTGACTGATGTGTTGAGGGCTGATGGTGTCCTGTTTTCAGCAGAGACTTAATCTTTCACTGTGTTCGCCCCAAGGGCTTTGTGGCCTTTTGTCGTTTAGATCAGGGTCTCTGCTGTGAATGCAAGCATGTGGGAGTATCTGGCTGTGACCTGCACACCAGCGTCCCCCTCCAGCATTTGTGAATGAATGGAAACAAGTCAATGAGCCCCCTTCTTTGTCCTCTTGCTAATTACCATCCTGGAAGAGGAGAACGCGTTAGAGAACACTCAAGAGTCCAAGGAAGGGCCGTGCCCCGGTGACCACAGGCTTCTTAATTCCTCACTGGGTGACCGAGTTTCCTTAAATGGACCACTGCACATTCTGGTGTGCATTTCACCCTTCCGTTGGAGGCTGGTTTTGGATGCCTGCTCTGTGGCAGGGCTGGGCGGCCTGGAACTGCAGTCACCTGACAGGCACGGCCCCCCACGCCCAGAGCGGGCAGCAGGCAGGATCGTCGGTGGGGAGCTGCTTATGACAGTGGAACAGGAGGTGGCTGGGCTCTGGGATGGGCTGTGCGGGGCTACGGCATGAGACGGGTCAGGAGGGTGACACAAGGAGGGGGCACGGAATGTGTCCACGAGAGAGCAAGTGTCCTGTCAGCCTGAGCTTATGATGTGCAGGATGCGTCGTGCTTCGGTTAAATACTGCGTAGGAAGCAGAAGGACGCACACCTGGACAGAGCGTGTGGTATGCACGTCCGACAGCTCGTTGGAAGAGCAGACTGCGTGTGTGACGTTTTGTTTCCATAACTGCAGACGTAGCGACGAGTAGATCTCTGCGAATGACCCGTTTACATGTATTGCTTGTGTGTGACTTTGGGGTTTCCCTCTCCTAGCTGACGTATGTGTTGTGAAGGTGGAAGGTGCCCCTTACCTCTGTAAAACCGATGAAGTCGGGGAGGTATGCGTCAGCTCCAGTACTACTGGCACAGCGTACTATGGGCTGCTTGGAATCACCAAGAGTGTCTTTGAGGTTTGTACCTCTCCCTGCCCTTTCTGTTGGGGTGGATTCCGTAGCATCAGTGGAGTGCGGGGCGTGAGGCTCAGCGGCTCTCCAGCCCTGATGGGGGTCGAGGTCAGCCCGGGAAGCCAGCGCTCCGCATGCTCGAGGGGCCAGCCGCTGGGCACAGGGGGATAAGGGGGTCACAGGAGGAACACAGACCATGCTGGGTGCGGGAGCCCGAGGAGCGTCTCATCCGCTGACAGAGACTCTGGCCTTGGGGTGGCCTGTTCCCCACCAGGGATCCTTGGGTGACAGCCCCATCTGGGGAGCCGTACCCTGGCCGGCATCTGGTTGGTTAGCTGTCCATGGGGCACAGCCTGACGTTCCCCTCTCTGCTCTGCGCAGACCGTCCCGGTCACGGCAGGAGGCATGCCCGTGTCTGACAGGCCTTTCACCAGGACGGGGCTGCTGGGCTTCATCGGGCCTGTGAGTATGTCCTGCTGCCAGGACCTGGGCCTCCAGACAGGCCCACACCTCAGTAGAGGGGACGCTGTCAGCATCCAGCGTGCATCTAGGGGCCAGGGATGCTCTCTAGGTCCCACAGTCCACAGGACAGCACCCACAACAGAGTACTGTCAGCCCAGAATGTCCTGGCCGCTGACTTTGGGAGCCCTGCCCGAGGGCACGGGCAGTCAGAGTCCTATACAACCTCACCTTTCCTGTGCCACCCCCCGCCACCAGGATGCAGGACCCTGTGCCCCCCCACTGCCCCCCCACGTCTCCTTGTCTCCTCCCCAGCCCACCAGGATGCAGGACCCTGTGCCCCCCC